GGCATCACAGCTCACAGCAACCTCCAGCTCTTGGGCTTAGGTGATTCTCTTGCCTCAGCCTCCTGAGTAGCTGGGACTACAGGCACCCTCCACAATGCCCGGCTATTTTTTTTGCTGCAGTTTGGCCAGGGCTGGGTTTGAACCTGCAACCCTCAGTATATGGGGCCGGTGCCCTACTCACTTAGCCACAGGTGCCGCCCTAGATCAGAATTTTTGACAAACTGGTTAGGAGCTACACTGACATTTACCTCAGGAAATTTCATTTACTCAATCTACATATACATTTTGGCCTGATAAATAGACTATTAGCACTGGGGGAGACTTTGCTGTAAAGTTGTCAGTCTAGTGTTAAAGAGAATCAGACGTGTTGAATTTGTAAATAAAGTAAAAAACGTTTAAGGATCCTTAATTAGCTTTGTAAGTGGGGTTAAGAAAATTTACTTGTTTAAAATTATACATTAATTGAACATTTTAAAAAGTTATTCTTTCAAAAATAGTACTAAGTTTACAAATTAATATATGATATTTACTGTATTTGATGATTTGAAGTTTTTTAATTTATAGATTTAATAAGTTAAATATTAATTCAAATACAAGCACAAAAGTCACCCTCAGATATAAAACAAGTACTATCAGGCTTGGCGCCTGTAGCTCAGCAGCTAGGGCACTGGCCATATACACTGGAGCCAGTGGGTTCAAATCCAACCCAGACCTGCCAAACAACAATGACAACTATAACCAAAAAATAGCTGGGTGTTGTGGTGGGTGCCTGTAGTACCAGCTACATGGGAGGCTGAGGCAGGATAATCATTTGAGCCCAAGAGTTTGAGGTTGCTGTAAGCTGTGATGCCATGGGACTCTACCCAGGGGGACAGCTTGAGGCTCTGTCTCAAAAAAAAAAGAAGAAACCTGGGTAAATTTACATTCCAGAGGAAGAGGCTGAGGCAAGAGAATTGCTTCAGCCTAAGAGTTGGAGGTTGCTGTGAGCTGTGATGCCATGGGACTCTACCCAGGGTGACAGCTTGAGATTCTGTCCCAAAAAAAAAAAAAACAAAAAGCTCTAAAATAAAAAGTTCCTTGTAAAAAGGTAATTCTATTAAATGTAATATTAATATTTTGGTAAAACTAGAGGAACTATCCCACATAACATCAGGGTTTTGTCACTGAGCCAAAATACTCCAGGGTGGGCAGAGAGGAAGACACGTTTGCCAGTCCAAGTCCCATTTGCTGCAGCCCGTGTTTAAATAAATTCACAGCAGTCTGTGAATAAAGTCACCCTCCTCCTTGGCTAAGCACACATGGGTGTGTAACTCAGTTCTAAAAATGAACTTCCGAGTGGGAAATCTCTTGAGAAATTCACTGGAAAAAAATATCTTGGCAAAACTAGATACCAGATTTGCTTTACAAAGTGAAATAACTGGTCCTCATTTCTCCGTTAAACCACCTGTCATTCTGAACTTAATTTGAAGAGAGCTTTCTACTCAGGACTACTTTCACTTCATGAATAACCAATTTTGATTTGTTTGTTTGTTTTTGAGACAGAGCCTCAAGCTGTCACCCTGGGTAGAGTGCTGTGGCATCACAGCTCACAGCAACCTTC